GAGGTCTAACCAGAACAGAGTAAAGCAGAGTCAGTTCTTCTAATTTCCTGTTTCAGATCTGGACTTAATGCCAATCAGAACAGGTACGACTTAGTCTGACTTTAAAAATTGACAGGCTCAATCATTTTTAGACTTAAAATATCTGTCTATCTCTCTGACTTACTTTAGGTTATACTTACAGACTCGGACTAAATAGAAAAATCCAACCAAAATATGCAGTTTCTCTTCTGGTCGCCTTACATAGAGGTAGGTTATAGTAGTACCCGGTTGGATTATGTATGAGAACATAAGCAATTAAATGTATGTAGATTTTTTCCAAGTTAATGAAATGAACTCTTAAACAGCTATTTGAGTATATGTGAGAAATGTCTCAGGCAGATACACTTTTTGATTCGTATCTTCTTACAATTGCTGTCTTAAATCTTATCTCATCGGAGGTAACCTTATGAAAATAAAATATATTGCTCTAAAGAAAAATAGCAATATGCCAATACACTGTACTAAGTAGGTGTTGAAAAGTGGAACAGAAGGAAATCGGTTTAATGAAAGAAATAAGACTAAAAGTCAGAAACCCTGGTACAAATACGATATATATGATTACCCTTCTTATTTTTCTACAGGTATCGAGATCGACCAGAAGAAGAAGAAATCCCATTTTGTACTCTGAAGTCTTTCCCAGCGGCCACTGAACACACGACGCAGTGGGCAAGAGACAAAGTAATTTTCTGGTGAGCACCACTGAGCTAGAAGGTCTCCTGCGCACATACCCCTGGAACAGCCACGCCCTTGCGTAGCTCCCGTTCACTACAGTGGGATTCTTCTTCTTAAATGCATACCTTGTGCAGGTGCGGGGGGGGGGGGACACTGAATATGAATAATCAAATATTTTTTATCTTAAAAAAAGGTAAAGGTTCCCTTCCTCGAAAGCCAGTCGAATCCGACTCTAGGGTTGCGGTGCTCATATCCGATTCAAAGCCGAAGAGCCAGCGCTGTCTGAAGACGCTTCCGTGGTCATGTGGCCGGCATGACTAAACACCAAGGCGCACGGAACGCTGTTACCTTCCCACTGAAGTGGTACCTATTTATCTACTTGCAATTTCTTGCTTTCAAACTTACAGTGTAGTAAAAATAGCTATATTACTTACTTAAGCAGCAAGATCAATAGGCACAAGACAAAGATGTTTGTGAGGCCTCTAAAGATGGAAGTCATGTGTTCTAATTCAGCAGCTGTGCATTTGGCACCAGACACATGACTTTCAATTTTCTTTTTTCCACAGCCTTCCTTTTCTTGGTCCAGTATTATTGGTTATCTTATTGTAATATGTATTATTGTTACGTGTACCTCAATCTGTTTGACCTCTGAAGAAGAAGGCCTCCAATCGGACGGAAACACGTCAGGTCCTGTGTATTGGCCCTTGCGTTCAGGCCACTTGAACTTTTTAGCGAGGCTTTCATTGGGCCCTTATTTGTTTTTAACTGTCTTTCTAATAAATACATGTATTTTTGTATACTATAAGTTTCAACTAGGTTTTTAATATTTGCCCTTTATCAGACTTCTTTCTTACACTTGTGGTTCTTGATTCCAGTTTTTGGGTCAAGTTTGTTTTCCCCTCCCTGTCTCTTACATATATGTCCCCTGTTTGAGACAGGATGCTGGACTAGAGGGACCCTCACTGGTCTGACCCAGCAGGGCTCTCCTGAGGTTCTCCTCAGGGGAAGGCCTCGGCCTCTCTGCCCTGTTGCTGGTCCTCCAGAGGAACTGGCTGGCCACTGCATGAGACAGGATGCTGGACTGGATGGACCACTGGTCTGATCCAGCAGGGCTCTTCAGATGTTCTTATGAAGACCTCAGCCTC